TCCATTCACCAGGTAATGACATTTGAGTTGTTTTTTCCTTGGGCAATTATAAATAAAGGTGCTGTAAAGATTAGCTTGTTGATTTTTGTGTGGACCTGTTTTCCATTCTCTTGAGTAAACTCCTAAGAGTGGAACTGAAGTCTATGTGATAAGTATATATTTTATAATTCAAAAAATTTGCTGAGCTGTTTTCCAAGGTAGCTGTCTGATTTTTTTCATTCCTACTAGCAGGGTATAAGAAAGTCCTACTTTTTCCACATGCCCACCAACACTTGATATGGTAATTCTTTTTAATTTTTGCAATGCTAGTAGGTGTACCCTGGGGATCTCGTTTTACTTTTAATTTCTTTTGCCCTGATACCCAGTGCTACTGAACACATTTTCATACATGGATTGGCTATTGGTTTATCTTCATTGGTGAAGTATCATCTCAATTTTCTTTCTGTTCTTGCCCATATTTAATTGGCTTTATTGGCCTTACTACTGAATGGTCGAGTTCTTCATATAATCTACATACAAATCCTTTATCAGGTGTAGTAGGCAAATGTTTCCTCTCATCTTTGGCCTACCTTTTCACTTATTAACATTTTGTAAAGCTGGGAACTGGGATTTGAAAAATTGCATAAAGTCAATTCATAATACAAAATTATAGACAAGAGAACTTTTAAAAGTAAAACTAAACTAACTTGCATACATTTTTTAGACCTCAATTTTGATCTTAAAATTAGTTACTTGAGAAAGAAAGTCAGCTGGATCCCAGATTCCCATTTTTAATTTCCTAGTATATGACTGAAAAAAAAATCCATTTCTTCAGCTGTAATTTTCATGGGGCACAAAACAGCATTTGCTATTCTCTCAACATTTGGCTCTGTAGCAATTGTAAATTGCTAATCACGGTGCTGAGCTGACATTCCTCGGTGACATTGGCATACTGCAAAAAGCGTTTGGCAGGATCTGGGACTATACATATTGAAGTTGTTTATTTATTTTTGTTTAAGAAACAGACAGACAAGTTAATTTCACCTCCATTTGGGACACAGAAAAGAATCAATGTTTGCCAAATAGAAAAACACAAAATTGGTAAAGGAAAAAAAATTGTATTTTCAAGCTTCCAAAATGGAATTAGAAACAGGGGGTGGAAGGGAATGTCACACAAATGACTAGAGAGTGTCCCTCTTAAAATTGCCTCAGCCTTCTACTTGAAATTCTTGCATCTTGAAAGTTCCCTGGCCGAAGGTTCTGTCCCAGATGAAGAGTAGAATGCAACTTCAAAATACCTGGCCAACATTTTCAATGACTGGACAGCATTTTAAAAACATTTTGTGACTTGAAAGTTGGGGTGAATACTGAAAATTGGAATGTACAAATTGCTTCCTGCTAGAACCATAGCCTTGTTTGAAGAAGGTTTTATAGGGCAGAGCCTTATTTTAACACCCTGAACCTGAACACCCTCTGTCTCCCAGGGGAGAAATGTGTAAGTAATATTCGAAAACCAGAGCTAAAACCCGTTATATCAGGGCACCAAGATCAGGTTGGAAATGGGGAGGCCTTCACCCTTCCTTTATTGGGAGAGCAGGAAGAACAGGACAAAGCCCTTCTTCCTTGGGGCTCTTGCCCCAATGCTGCTGAAACGGTTGCCCTGGAGAGAAATGTTATCAAACCATCTAATTCTGCCCTCCTGTCAGCCTGACAGAGACTTGGAATGCACAACTGGCCCAGAGCTGATTACCTTCAGGTGTGGTTAGGTCGAGTTAAAAATTCCATTAGCAGTGCTCAGGCATTGGGAACAAGGTTTCACAGGGGTGGGCTTTTTCTAGTTAACAGGGAAGAAATGGCTTCTCATTTCACAGTTATCACAGACAGGACTCTTGTTTGTTTACATTCTGCCAAGGAGAAGCATCTGAGATCCACAGGCCTGGGGGCAGAGACCTGGAGTTAAGGTGGGAACACACTTTTTCTGAGCGGAAACTGGTTGCCACCCCTCCACCCTCCTCACCCCTCCCAGCTAGCTTGCCAACCAGGAAACTCAGGGTCTCCTAAGAGTAACTTCAAGTAGAAGGCTCGCCCGGTCACTGCCATAAGTCTCCCATGCCTGCTTCTCAACCTAATTGTTTTTCATTTTCTCATAATAACCCTCCTCCCTTGCCCTAAACCAAACACTGAGACGCTGCCCTCTATTTACCAAGCTCCAAGGCGTGCAATAAAGGTGAGCGCTATTTGCTACTCTCTGCCTTGCTTTTAATTTTATTCTAGAAGAAAATCAATTAGACCATCAGAGTTGCAGCTTCTTTCTTTGAGGCTTTTGGACTTGAATAGCTCGTAGAAGTACTTTGCCCTGGCTTCAATATTTTAATAAATGCTTGATTGTAATGGTTTTCAAAGGGGTACAAAAAGGAGACAAGCAGACAGGCAACTTCAGAACAAAACTAGGCATTTGAAAGGACCCTTTAGGTTGAGTTGTTTTTCCACTCAGGCAACCTCCTGTTTTGCTGACATTGTTTTATGATCAGGACTTACATTCTCTGCTTTTCTCCCTTTCTGCACACTTAAGCTGCTCATTAGCTGAGAATGGGACATCCTGGCAGGAGGAACCAACAAAGCCGCCGCTGAGTAGCTGAGAGTTCGGCTCTTTCTCCCCTGTCGTGGTCATCATCCTGGCCTGTCCTGGGAGCCCTCCCCAGTGCCTGTGTGTGTGGCACAGAGGAAACATCTGACCTCACACTCATGCTGGTACTTGGGGCCTCCATCAGTCTGTCAGATATTGGCATAATGGTTTGTGCACTTAGCTCAACATTGATCAAAATGTGGGTGGGAAGCTAGGAAGAGCCCGTGTTCAAGGCCCTGGCACAACTTTGGGAAAGGCCATGTGGGGCCCCATCATGGAGGGCCTTGGTGCTGACCACTGCAAAAAAGTTACACACACACACACACACAGAGCAAACCACCTTATGGGCTGTTCCCAGATTAGTTCCTGCTTTTGTATAGTATTCCTCTACTGAGAAGTGAGTTCCTGAGGTCAGGAACCTGATGATCCCCATTTACAGACCATCTGGGCTAAAATTCATCTGTTTCGAGAAGGTATTTATTTGATCTATGTTGCAAGGACAAGAGAAGGGGTATGGGACAGAGAGGGGAGACACCAGGAATCCCTGCTCTGCTTCTGATGTAGCTTCCAATGGAGTCATGGTTCTGATAGGAGAACGTGGAGCCACCTGCTGGTGTCCATCTAGAGGTTGTTTCCCCCGACCCTTGCAAAGGTCAGGAGAGGGTCCTCTGGGCAAAGGACAGAATGGGAGTCAGTTCCAGCTGGTTAGCTGGCCTTCAGGTTTGCTCCTGGCCCTACAGATGACCACAGGGGGGTACAGTGGAAGCTGCTGAAGAAGTTTCACTGGCCTTCTCCCTCTGCCATTGGCCTCCCCTGGCACTGCAAGGCTGGTCTGGGCAGTGGTTTTGTAACAGGGTGGTCCCCGGGAAAGGGGGAAGTTTCAGGTTCCCTGCCCCACCCAAGGGAGGGTAGAGCTGAGCAGGAAGAGGAGAAGCTGCAGAAGAGACTGAGGAAGGAAGCAGGATGGAGCCAGAAGGAGACCTGGAGGAGGCGCATGGAGCCTAGAGACACGTGAACTGGGTGACACAGATGTGGGTGAGACCCGTGGGGAGGTGACAATGGAAGCTTTTATCTTGATGTTGATTTTGCTCTTTTCCTTCCGGGCTTGTCCGGTTGTTTGTGACCCTTTTCTGTGGGTCCCCACTGGAGGATGCTTTAGACTTGTGGCAGGCTTTGGGGCCTTGTTCAGGGCCGATCCCATATGGATGGACTTTTACCCACGAGGGGACGGGTAACTTTGGGTGCTTCATTTAGAAACCAGACTCTTTGCCTTACCTGTATTGTTTCCTAGTTTTATTAAAGATCCTTCCCATTAGTCTCATGTGTTTTGTGTTGATGCGGCGGATGGCCGAACCCATTTAGAATAGGCAGGTTTGCGGGGTTTGGGCTGCCCCTCTCCCTGTCCTATAACAGATTGACATTTGGCATGTTTTAATCCCTAGCTAGCACAATGGTCTCTATGTTTTTAGGCAGAAATATGTACTGATGATCACCCAGGACATCCAGCAATACACAAGCAGTGACAGGGAGGAGTCCTCCTTGTGCTCCATGGGCCTGGTCTTCCATAACTCATGTGTGGGTTCCCTGGCTGTGGTTCACCAGCCTACACAAATGCGATATGGGCTTTGTTAAGGTTATTTTTGGTCCTCATTTTCTTTGTGACTCTGGCTATACGCCGGTTAGAGGCATCAGAAGCGCCGCACTGGCTATGGGATAACCTCCCTGAGTGTGATTCCTACAGCCAGCCTCCTCCCTGCATCACTCCTCTTTATGTCTATTGACACCACCACCCCCGCCCCCAAATAATTAACAGTCCACAAATGCTCCCCGCAGGCCAGTGCGATCCTCTGCTGCCACAAGCTCTGTGCAATGTGGTCACAGACAATCAGATTAAATGTCCTATCACCCAGCATTGATCAGATTAGCAACCTTGTGACTATTCATTAATTGTATTTTCCCTCAGAGCCCTGTTCAACTCAATACCAAGTGCATTGTTTGTGGTATAAAAAGTAAACACAAATAGGATGTTCGTTACATTTTTAAATGAACGAACTACTACCTTTTCAAAACAGGGTATAAGAGGAAGGAAGGTTAATGCAATGCTAATTTTCCAAGGGCAGAAGAGTTGAGCTAGAAGATTTCCCAGGAGTCATTACGTTTCTGTAAGTGGTTTTTTTAGGATACCTTTTGCTTCAGAGCTTCAGGAACCTCCACTATCCCTTGGTAAATCTGACTGGAGACCGCCGGAGCTACCTTTCTTGTGTCTGTGGGAGAAGTCACAGACGGCAGGCTCCGACCCTTGAAGAAACGAGGGGACGGGGTCGCTCGGGAAGTGACTGGAGAACTCCCCAGTACTGCATAGGGTTCACGGACAGTAAGAAGAGGCACGACTTACCAGGGGCCTTTCCTCTGCCTGGGGTCCCCCCGCAAGCCTGGCAGTGCTGCTCCCTGGGTGGCGGGCAGTGTCGCGCTGAGCGGCGGTGAGTTAGAGGCAGAGGGACCTTACGGGACAGTCAGGTCCCCTGATTTCTTCACAAAGTTTCTCTGAGGAAGGGCCTCTCTGGTGTCGCAGGCGGTTGAGCGCCGTGCTATGAAGCTGTCAGCAGCCTCTGCAGCGCGGGTTCGATTCCGGCCGCCGGGCGAGCGTCCCACATGGCACGGCAGACCTCTCCTGTCTCGCCCGCTGCTCCCCTCAGCAATGTATTTCGTCAGTCTGCCTGTTCTGCTCCCCGCTCTGTCTCTGCTGAATCCTCTCACCCTCCTGTGCATCTGGCCTGGACCCCAGCTCTTGTATAAATAAAAATAAATCTTTAAAAAAAAAAAGTTTCTCTGAAGAAACCGGTCCCGGCCGTCAGGAGCTTGACGTCACTCACTGGACTGTCAAATCAAGTACTGGCATGCCCTGCTTTTGGAAGTCTGAGGTAAGCCACTTCAGTTTTTGAATGACCTTCATTAATATCTGTTTTCACAAACGGAAAGAAATCTGAAGAGGCGTGTCCAGAACGGTCCTCGCAGAAGCGGCGTGCGGCCTCCGCCTTGCCCGTGAGAGGGCGGCGCCCAGATCCTTCCGAGGGGACTACTTTACATACGGGGCACTTAGTCCTGCCGTAGGATGTGCTAGTGTTATTTTAGGTTTTTGTGTTATTTGGTAAGATTCTGTAGATTATTTTGGGCCCTGTAAACTATTAAAACTTTTTTTCATACAAATGAAAGGTAATTGCTTCTTCAGTATATACTTTTTCCACTTCTAAAAGATTTGATAGAAAAGTGTTATTCTCGGACAGTGGGAAAACTGCAAGGACACACCTACTTCCTCTGGCGTTCATTTGCCATCCCTGCGGTCACAAGCCAGGAATTTTGCCTTTTGCTCAATTTCAAGATTCATAGTGTTCCAGTGGGAAGAAATTTAGGGGGGAAGCTGGTAAATAATTATTCATAAAGTGCCCTCACAGTGAGATCTACTACTGAGTGGAATAGTCTCCCGGGAGAAATGGTTGAGAATGGCATTATTTAATACTATTAAAATTATATTAGCTAAAGAACTGAGGAAATTGGGCAAGGGGAGAGTCGGAAAATCCAAAAAGCTGATCATCTGGAGCCCTGTCACCCTTGCTGTCCACCATGGACTTATCGTGAAAATGTTTGCAGTTTTTTATGACCTTATATAACTCACATCCTTTCCTAGCTCATCACGGGGACTGCCCCCCATGCAGATCTTCCTATAAAGTAGTAATGTCAATTAATTAATGATTAAGATACTCCAAGCACCATGCTGGGCACTTTATCTCTTTTGGTGACCTGAAATTTTCTCATCAGATATTGTTCCTGCAGAGAAATTTTTTTTGAGGTAACTTTGGTTTAAGGAGATGTTTATGATTAAGAGGTATAGGCGTCCCCCCTTCTGGTGGTGTTACCACACCAAAGCACCCATCATACTCCACCACAGCCCACTGCTCTCATTCTCCACTTTTTTTCTCTTCCCCTCTGGGAGCCTCAATTCCCTTGCAGGGAATTTTCTTGCTAGACTGATCCTGCCCCAGGCCTGGCTACACTGCTCTGGCTCTGTGACTTATGGCTAACTGCTCTTGAGTATCAGCTCCCTCATCTGTGATGCTAGTCCTTCAAATACCTGGCTGTAATGAGATTAAATGGAGAAAATGTAGGTTAAAAAATGATGAACCTATGGCCTCCCCTGGTAGCGCAGCGGTTGAGCGCTGCGAAGCTGCCCGCAGCCTCTGCAGCACCGGTTCTATCCCCGGCTGCCGGCGAGGGTCCCACATGGTACGCAGACCTCTCCTGCCACACCTGCTGCTCCCCTCAGCAGTGTATTTTGTCAGTCTGCCTGTTCTGCTCCCCACTCTGGCTCTGGTGAATTCTCTCACCCTCCTGCACTTTTGACTATACCCGTGCTTGTATAAATAAATAAATTAAAAAAAAAAAGATCAGCCTGACTAAGCATGGAAACCCTCCATCAGTGGAAGATATTGTTTAAAAAAAAATAGGCATAATCAGTGTGAATCAAGTGTTTTTTTCTTTCCCACTTAGCTGTTTTCCATGTATTTTTGTTTACCATTTACTTCTTATAGCCTGTGAATCTCTCCAGAGTACAAATCTTCTCCAAAGCATATTTAATTGGGGGCAAAAAGGCAGGAATCCTATGAAAAAGAAATCCCTGTGGCATATAAATGTGAGGAAGATAAACATTAAACTGACAGAGAGGCTCCAATGTTTGTTATTCCACGAAAATCTGCCTAATTTACAAGCTTCAGCGATACCCCAATAGATTAACTTAAATTCACCCTTAGAGAAATTTTAATTCTAGTGTTACTATTGTTACAATCTGAGGGGCCTCCCAAGATGGAAATGTCAGTAGAAAAATAGGGCCCCATCTGAGAAACTCATCTAACAGGCAATTTTGTGGCAGATATATGTATTTGGCTTTATATTGTTTAGCTCTAAAGTGCATTTGAGTAATACCTAAGAACATGTCTATTTAATTTTAAGCAGTGGGTTATGAGAATCATCAAAAATCAAACACAATAAAAAGGAACAATATTTATGGCATTTTAAAGCCTATCCCATTATTGGTTAGTGCTCCCCTCAATTGTTTAACTGCAATTGGTTCCACTTTCTCAGTGTGGATGATTTTTATACATCTGAGTTAAAAAATAATGCTGCTTGCAAGTGAAAAGTTAAAGACCAAGACAAGGCCTATTAGAATAACATTACACTTTTTTATTCCCTGCACTTATTTCATCACTTACTAATTATTCCCCTTTTCCTATGCAACAAAATAGAAGCCATAAAATCTTTGATTTAATGAAAACTTCCTTACCAAATAGGTCCTCCAAATCTGCTGAAGGCTTATAGGTAATTTATCTACCTCAGTAGGCGATGACCTTTTGTGAATCACGAGTCATTCCTCACTCCTAATGAGATGGATCCAGATGCCATCCCACCCTCTGCATGGCCCCCTCCTTCCTCCATCCAACAGAGGCTGTGCCTGACCTCCCAACTTCACCAAAGTGGGCTGTAATTAGTCCCAGCACAGTGAACCTGCTCAGGGGAGAATCTCCCTCCTCCTTCTGCTCTTAAAGTGGCTGAACTTTGAATGTTCTACTCTAAGGGTCCTGAGGAAAAAAAGGGTGAGGGGTGGGAGAAGCCAAGATAAGTCTCAATATAGTCAAGAAGTGGAAATAACTTCCTGGTGTCTCGAGAGGCCTCTCTGCCCACTCTTATCAAATCACAGATATGGAGAAAATAACCAGCCACTTTGAGCACCAAGCTGGGCTTGGTGTCCTGGCAGCACAGAGGGTGCAGATTAAGATCTGCACTGCAGGCCTATGGTCTCCAGGCAGATTGATTGAGTAGACTACAATGTATACATGTTTGTAAATCATATTCATGTGCTGCTGAGTGTATAGTATAATACATGTATCATATTACACACATGTATTACTACTTGTAATGAATGATAAATTATATACCTGGATCATTAATTATATATTATCATTCATTTACTTAATGGAATACACATACTGTACATGTATATGAATTACTGTTCTGTACCAATATACTAATACATTAGAAAACAAGTATAATCATCAAGGTATGAGATAAATAATAAAAGGTGAATATTAAAATAGGTTTTTTCCCTCCCTGTTCTTTCTGGATCTTGTAAATTTTTCTGCTCTCTGAAGGTCCAAAGAGAATGCCTCTTATGCTTGTTTGTTCAACATACCATAAGTAACAGTGCTGGGGATGAGGCAACATCACCTCCTCTTATCACCAGCATGGGAGGTGATGGGGGTAAGGATTAGTAACTAACTGAAAGATCAAACCTTACTGCATCCCTGAAATATGCTTTCCCTGCTCTGTTTTCAATTCTAGAGTGGCTGCTGCTGGCAGAATAAAATATTTGCAGGCCAAAAGCTCTGAAATTCCTTTCAGAATGTTTGATGAATCTATCTGCAAAACAGGCAATGGAAGGAGGTTCAGAAACGAGCTGTAGGCCCTTCTGGAAGGTGATGCCACCAACTCCACTCTGGCCCATGCAGTATAGCCTGCAATCTCCAGAAGTGCGAAAGTGCCACAGAATAGGACCTGTCCTTTCTCACTGAAAGATGAGAAAGAAATTAGGGGTGGTTTCATGGCTACCATCACCAGAGGAACCTCCACCTGAAAGGAGAAGAGGCAGGAGTAGGAGAGAGCACAGAGGGAAAGTGGGGCCATAGCAGCCTCAGCATCTCCACACCTGATACTGATCACTTTTCTCTGCATGTATGTGTAGCCTAAGGCATCATTGAAAATAACTGGCAAATAAGAGTGCATGAAAAATCCAAACTTGGAAATGCCTATTTAAGATCTTTTAAATTAATATGTATATTCATATAACTAATTAAATGAAGCTACCTTTAAATTTGTTTGAATTCACCAGGTTCAATAAAATAGACTCAAGATACTAATCTTACAGATAAAATTACATTTCCTCCTCCTGGGGAGAAAGGAAACCCAATTCCTTCTAATAGGATATTTCCTCATAAGGTTTAGATGCTCATATTTAAATTCCAATAAAATAGTCATGGGCAGAGAAACTGTTTTTTTTTTTTTTAAATAATATATTCAAGAAAGAATTCCTTGAAGACTTTCTACATTTGAAATGTTACCAGGAATACTAAACATTTGACCCTATGTTATAGGGATATGATTTTCTAAAAAAAAAAAAATAGTAATAAAACAAGAAGGAAGAACCCCTACCAATACATTTTGTTTCTAGGTCAATGACTTTGCTTTATTCTCATGTCTGATGAGACTGGTAAGTAGGACCTGCCAATGGAAGCCACTGGATTTGACACGTTTCAGTGTCAGCTGTGGGATTTCTGCCTTAAATCTGTCAGGACAGTCCTGTGGCCACTTCTGCAAAAACCCTTGGGGACAAAATTTATTGTTATACCTCAATAGCTTTTTGTTCACCTCCAAAATAGGGGTCTTGGGTCATACTAACGATTGTGGAGAGACAAAATGCTCTCTATATATTTTATTAAACAGATCTCTTAATAATTAATCAAATGTGAAAATTATTTTCCATCACTCTGACACTACAGCACTGGGATTTTTTTCTCAGCCTGTTTCTTTTCCTTTTAAATTGCCCTCTGTGGATTTCCTCAGCTACAAAGCAAGTGAGTAGAGAAAGTCCAATTTATGACTTGGCTTTTTAAACCATAATCACCCCTCTGGGCTCCTACTGGAGGAGGTTTAGGTTTTTATTTATTTATTTTTTTGTAGGTTGTCAGATAGATACCTGAGGTAATCTGTTCTCCGAGCCCCTCTCCCCCAATTTATAGAGGGTTATGATAGGAACCCAATCCATGTACCCATTGTGTGCCAGACCACAGCATTGCCACACTACAAGGAGATGGTAATATTGGACGAGAAAGACATGGGTCCCTATCTCAGTTTCCGTATTTCCAGGAGACTATCTCACTTAGTTAAGTAAGTATTGT